TGGCCCTGAAAAGGGCCGCTTTGTTTGTGTTTTTACGAAAAAACTCATTGGAACTTAACGACGTAAGATGAACCACGCAGCATGTGGCGCACACGTATCGGCTGGTATCTAGTGTAAGAAATAGACAAGGGATGAAGGCTCCAGCAAACTCATATTTTTTAAACTCGAAAAAACAGACGAAAAGAATGACAAATAAAATCTAAAAAAAATACCAGGTTGAAGAATATTAGTTGCTCCTTCAAATTTCGCCAAAGCCTTGCCTACATTTTACCGATATCTGCAGAATAAATCAAGAAAACTACACAAATTGACTCCATTTAGGAATTCCTAACGGTTTGCCCGAACACACGGCACAGTTGAAGGCGTGGCCTGTTCAGCATTTGTCAACAACCAATCACAAGACTAGTTACGAACCACATCGAGGTCACGACTCGGTTAGCCTTGCTCAACTGGTTACAGTTGATTATAGTTCCTGGGCTCTCTGTGGTTTTTCCCGGCCGTTTCGACTTGTATGCTCTGATCACGGTTACTAAAAAAGTAACCGTGCATTGATTACAATACTTACCATACTTTGTAGTCAATTTCAGTGAGTAATACAACTTCATTCGCTGACATAAAACAAGTTTTATTCTTAAAATTCGACCCTGTGTCTTAGTGTTCCCACAGTTCTTGACCGAATGCTCACGTTTATTGAAACCTCGCATAAATCAAGAAATAAGTACGTGTACAAAGTGTACGAAAGCATTCCTTCATTTGACCTTATCATACGATCACAAAACAACTTTTTAAAATCTTTTTTGGGGTGGTCCTCGGGTAAGCGCCCACCCCCATTTTTTCCTGATTTTGTATGTTCAGGCCCCTGGGCGCGTGCCCGGGGTAATACGGTAACATTAACGCCATCTTGAAGTTGCAAGGCTTCCTCCGCAACTATGCTCATTAGCCATAGGCGGCAGCTTCAAAGCGAGTAGAGCGCGAAGTACGTTTCACACGATGTTATGTCTGATAATCGGCCCTCAACGATCTCACGTATCAGTGTCGTCATCTCGCGTTGATGCGAATATTTCCCACAATTTGTCTTCCATGTGCTTGCCGATCACCGAACAGTGCGGCATGTCGCCGGTACATAGTGTTTACACACTTTTTTTACCGTACCTTTTTTACCATTTAAAACTTAATTTTTTATAAGGTCTGCGGTGAACATCAACCATTGGATTCGCGCTGTTTGACCAACCAACCAATAGAAATTGTGCTCTTCGCAGAGTGACACTGCGATTCTGTCGCAGAGTGCAATAATCGACATTCGGCGAGTCGCACAATCGCGTCGCTGAGTTAGTTTTTAGTCCCCCATACATACATGAATCTTCTGAAGGAAAGTGCAGACTATAAATGGGACTATTTTGTGAATTTGTATGGTGGTGAAAAGACAGAGAATCTCAGAGTCTTTCATGTTGTCCACACAGATGCCTGCATATCATAGCGTTGTAGCCATATCAGTTTATGGTATTTAGAGTTTGCATTTGTCAGGTCTCAGAAAATATTTTTTTATCTATGGCAACCATTTTGTTAATAGTATGATAAGATGTGGTGACACTTGTTTTGGTAATGTTTCATTCCTATGTAGATTGTTTATTATCTATTATTGCATGCAAATGCATGTGAAATCAAATAATTATATAATTGTAAAAGATTTATCATATTTAGTTTATCATTATTTTTGTGTGTTTTTTTACAGAACCTTTATGATGATGATGACAGTTGTTCACTTAGTCCTAAGGCCATAGCCATTCCAAGAACCTCACCCAGCCATTCAAGGGAATCACCCAGTAGATCGCTTGACTCACCCATACAATCCTTAGAATTAGAAAAGGAATCTAGTTTGCAGAAAACTTTCACAATGTCATTAGAAAATGATAATATTTCAAATTCATCTTGTCAATCAAATGTACAGTCAATTGTAATGTCCTCTAATACAGATGTAGATTCATTTGGTAACCAAGATACGGAGACACACAGACCTTTAAGTATGGTGTCTAGTGGCTATAGCTCTAATCTAACTCTTACAGAGGACACACTTAGTATTCACAGCTATGATGAAGGACCTGATCACAAAGTGAATTCTAACAAGTCAACTGAGGAAGAAATAAAATCGCCGTTCAGTGACGAAGAAGATGGTAACACATCCACATTGACAGAAGAAAGATTACAAAAAGTACTTAATGAAGATGCAAATGAGAAAATAAATGATGATGATAAGAAAGATGTTTCTGTGGAAACAAGTTTGAAAACTAATAGTGAAGGTCATTCAGCATGCAAAAAAGTACAAGTAAGTGATTTACTCCATAGGGCAGAGAAATATAATTCTGAAAATCTGGATATGAAAGAAGATGAGCCAATTGAGATAACTACGTCTGTTGCCATGGTAATGAACAAAAATAATGTAACCGAATGCATAGAGAAAAAAATGTCTGATATCAGTAATGATGTTGACAAGTTGGGAGAAAAGAAAAATGCATTGGTTACTATGGCAATGGATACCTATGCAGAGGAACATTGTGATGTGGTTTTAGCCACTTCTGATTCCACAAGTGTTTCTATAGAAACTAATTCAGTATCCTTGGAGATATCAGAGCTAAAAGCAGATGATGACAACTTTGCAGACATCAGTGGACTGGAACCATTGCTTATTATTGAAGATGAAAATGAAAACAATAGTACTTCACACCTTCTTGAGAAAGAAAAAAGTATCACCACAAAAATAAATGATTTGCAGGAGATCAAAGTAGAACAGCAAAGTTTAGAAATTATTGAGTCATTCAAACTTGACCAGACTGTAGTAACCCCAACAAATGAGTTTGAGCTTCATATTAGTGAAGATGAAAAACTGATATTGACTGAAAATGATGCAGAAAGTCGTCTTTCCAGTGTCAGTGGTATGCATGCGTTAGAGGATGACATGTCTGACGATAGTCTGAGTATGTGTTCGTTTGATAGTCGACAGGATGGTGACAGGAGGCACGATATACCCTTACCAGCGTGGCTAAAGATCAGTCAACATGTATCAATTGGTACTTCTAGAACTGGTGTAGTTAAATTTATCGGCAATACTACTTTCAAAAGTGGTACTTGGGTTGGTGTTAAACTGGACACCCCGACTGGTAAGTTTTGACTTATAAGCCCATTGAATGTGTTAATAAAAAGATATCAGGCTTTTATAGATTTAGTTATTGACCAGAAGTAAGACTTAATCGTATACTTATGCACCTGAACTGATCTCATTTGGCCAAATGATGGCTATAACAACTATTACTA